CCCTCTCTCCTCAGGGCCCTCTCTTTAGTACCTACCATTGCTGGTTTTCTTATATGAAAGTATGACAATGTAGAATAAACTGAGATGTGTTATTTGACTGTATATATAGAAAAGGATGGTGTCACACCAGTTTTATATTTCCACAATTCAGAAATTCTTGGGAACTGCTTATTAGTACAGAACTTTTGTAACAGAGTGGGGAAACAGTCTCTGTATGGCCTTTTTGAACATTGCAGTTGAATTCATCTCATCTCACTTTAGATGTCTGAAGTGCAGATATGTATATATGAGCTAGTCACCCAAGGCTACTTTTGGAGTGAATTACAAGAGATGAGTGCTTTTAGGGTACAATTCCCCTAATCTGTTTGGAGGTCTACTTTAAGATGAGATAAAGTGCACCCAGAAGTGACTGGTGCTGCGCATTGGCTGTAAAGGAAGTCTAAACAACTAAAATAGTTGTAGACACAGATGCTACAGATAGCTGCATTGAATGAAATGTATTCTCTCCTGTGTGGCTCTATAACAGTATTGCGTTATATGTAGTAGTCATATTTTTGTGGATTCATATGTAAGACTTACTTGGTTTTCCTGTTACATATATTCCGTTTTGTACTTTCTTTTGTATAAGAAATGATTACAGGATGGAAGTTGCAAGTGAAACAATTAATTCAAGAATTCAGGTATAATAAAACTGGATTATTCACTAAGTCAGAGAATTAATTTAACTTTCAGTAATTGTGACCTGTAGTGATGTCACGGGATCAATAAATATAGAAGTGGGTCTTTAAAAATCAGTTTCATTTAATCCAAGATCAAGGTTGCAATCATTTTATGTTGGCATGACGAGAATTAGATTGAATGCCTTAACTGTGACTCTGCATTTTGTAGATTTCAAAGACAAGTTCAGCTCATATATAAAGGAATTTTAGTGATGTCACTCTTAGGAATTCAGTAATGGATGGCCTTTACCATGGTGTGAGTGTGCAAACAAGTTTATTCAGGGAAAGAAAGAGCATAAACTTCCAGCACTTTGGCCAGTGTTGGCTAATTGCCCATGAACATGCCTTTTCCCAAGAGCACTTTGCAGAAAAGGACTGTGTATGCAGTTAATTTCAGTGGAGTAGCTGACACGTTGTACCTTCTTTTCCTATAGCAGTGGAGTCAGTGCTGAGGCTGAGGAAGCTTCAACTGTGCCATATATGAGGAGCATGCTGGGTGATCTTCGGCATATGATTTAACTATGATGTGCCTCAGTTTCCCTTTAATTTGCAGGATATTGGTATCAGTGTCTTCTGAAGCAATTACGATATCTGTGAATGAACAGTGCTTCACTGGAGCCAGGTAGTGCCATTAATCATTGACTGAGTATCTAGTGTATTTGTCTGAGTCTGACTTTCATTAAGATGGGGTACACTGGCTTAAGATGAGTCAGATTTTTACACTGGCAGAGCATGGGTACATTTTTTGAATAGGACAGAATTGATTCCCACTAGACCTGTTAAACCAATGTTTTACCTCTTGACAAAGTATTGAGTCACTCGCTGCCTGGAGGAAAGCACTTAAATCATCAGTAAATAGATATTCTGGCCTGTAGGAGAGCCAGGTTCACTTCTCAAGACTCCATATGTCATTGCTTGGTTGGACAAATGTTGGCAGAGCAGAAGTGGCCCTGAGAGTGAAGCGGGGAGCGGATCGGTTGCATGTCAGGGCATTCAGGGAACCATGCTGACAGGTTCCCAAGGGCATCGTCTGCAGCAGGACAGATTTGTTGTGATTTAGGAATTTTCTTTAGGTTTAGGTCTAGGTTAAAGCTTTCAGAAGGTATGGAAGCATAGGTCCTCTGGACTCCATCTAGTTCACTGCTTGCTAGGCAGATAGGGAGTGAAAATGCTGGCACATTCGACCATTCAGATGACCCTAAGGCCACATATTCTGTTACTCCTGTAACTGAACTTAGTGCACATACCTTCTTTACCTCCCAATACCCTCTGCTTGGGGTCATCTTTCAATCTCCTCTTCTTAGTAAGGCCCTGTATATTATGCCAGTTACTCTGCATACCTCTTGCTTTTATTCTTCTGCCTGCAAACCCTTTTCTCCACATCTCCAGTTAAGAGTGCCAGTGTTTGCTGCCTTTCCCTTTCATTTCCAGAGCTGGGAATGTATTGATTGCTTCTGCTCTTTTTACAAAAGGATCACTGTTCTCTTTTTTGCCTACTCTACTAGTGCAAGAAAGGTGAAGTGAGTTGATTCCTTCCTATTCTTCCTCCCATTTATTTTTCTTTCACACAAAGGGCTGCATTTGCTTCCGCTTCTCCTCCATTCTCCCCAAGACAGTTTTTTTCCTCTTGAGGTTCTCTGTTTTTCTGGTTTCCCCCTTTTCTTTAGAATCCCTTCCTCAAATAAGTCAAGAAGTGTTTGCTTTCCCCGTGTGGGGAATATGGCAGAACTGGGATAAGCATACTGTTCTGGAAGCTGTAAGTAGGACTTGTGGATTTCCTCAAGGTAATTAATTGGTAGAAAGTACTTCTGAATAGCTGTGAAAAGGGATCAATCCTGCCTTTGTGCCTTGGATCTCATATTCAGTCTTTGCTTGCTTTTTTATATTCGGTTTGCTGTGTAAAGGCCACCTATATTTCCATCCAACACGTGGATAAATGTTACCCGTGAGAGGAATTCTATAATTTTTTTTATGTGTATCTGACAGTTCTTGGTCTCTGGATAGAAAAAGACTCTATGGGCAAGATCATATGAAGGTATTTGCTTGCTTCTCACAGAAATCAGTAGAGTTAAGGCGCCTATATAAATATATGTCCATTGCTACTATGTGAAATTTAAACTGTGAGAAAGAAACAAGGTGATCCTGGAATACTAACGAGTAGGAAAACAGATGTATGATAAGTGGAAAAATGTCTTTGTTGTTAAGGATTTACGCTGATCTGTTTCATATTTTATATTTTTTTGGTTCTGTTACAGATGTTTTGAGCTGCCCTGCCCAAGCTACTTACAGGATAAATAGGATTCATCGATTTATTAGATTTTTTAAATCTTTTGTTTTATCTGCTTCGACAGATTTATCTGCTGTTTATCCGCTTACACATCTCTGAGAACTTTACTCATCTGTTCCTCTAGTAAAATAAGGGTAATAATGCTTCCTGACATACGGTCTTGTCTGTTCAGGTAATAATCTGTTTTGGTAGGAATTATTTGCTGTGTTGCAGCGTATTCCAAACATGATTGGTCTCCCAGGAAGATTATTTACCACCATAAAAACATAACATAGTGTTAGTAATACAAACACCACCTTTTGGTTTATCTGTTTCAATTTATGTAAGCAACTACAAACATCTCCTCAATTAATGATTTCTCTTTTTTTGCTTCATTACTTTGCTAACTATGTATTATTTGTTGCTTCTGCCTATGTGAAGAACTTGTGCTGTTTTCTTACGATTTACTAAAAATTTACAAATCTTTTTGATTTATGTCACTATTTGAAATGTTGGTTATTACAGATAATTCATTCAGTACTTCAAAAATAGTCACTATACAGAAAGTCAGTGGAACATGTGTAAAACAGTCTAAAAATTGGACAACTGTGAAATAAACTATTCTGAACTTTAATCTAGCAGGAAAAGACATAAAATTTTGTTTTGAAAGCTGAAGCTAGAGAAATTCAAATTAGTAAAAAGGTGCATATTTTCATTGTGAGAGTAAATATTACTTGTGACAAGTTATGTAATGTGAGACATTTTCCTGTTCTTGATTCTTCCTAAAATAGATTCTATTGTGTAAAAAGAAGCAATAAGGGTTTTGCCTAAATGACCGTTTAACCTCTGTTAATGGAGGAAGTCAGATTACATTGTTGTAATAGTCCTTTTGGCTTTAGAACCTCTGAATTTTTGAATCAGTTTGAATGTTTATCTTGGTGGTTTGGTAATTGAGGATTAGCTTAATTCCTCAATTTACATTTGTAGATGAGGTTGTTGAGTTCTAGCATCATGTTTTCTTACTCCCTTTGATTCACTGACTTCAAATCAAAAGTGTCCTCTCTCTTGTGCAGTGATCGGTACTAAGTATAACATTTGATTAATGGGATTGGAAGGCTGGTTATCTTGAAATTGGATTGTAAAGTGGGATATTATAGCTAAATCATCAAATCAGATCTGCATAGATATTTCTGCTTGAAATAGAGCACTTGTGCAAGGGCAAAATGCACAACAGTTGTGGTTCTGAGAGGCAGTGAGAAAACAGAAAAGGGATGCCTTAAAGAAAGCTACTCTGGCATGTATCTATCTGTTTCTTGATGTAACTACTGAGAATTAGAATCACCTGTAAAACAAAAGAAATTATTTAGATCTCTATTTTGCCTGAAGGGGCAAATGTTTAAGAACTGGTAAAGTAGAGAAAGAGTGTTATACAAGCACTTACCTCTTTGCATAATAGTCTGGGAAATAAGAGGAATATTAATAAGTCAGATATGTATATCCACATCTTACAAAATTCTTATGAAAATTATCCACTTCCAGATCATCAGATCTTGAAGGCTTTTACAAAGAAAAGCAGTATCACTAAATCCTGATTTACAATAGTATAATAGAGATGTAAAGTATTAAGAATAATCACTGTGGTAGAATTTAACATGGACATTATTTTTGCCCTCATTTAAAACCGTGCAGTACTGCTGAGTGCACAGAAGGGCTGGGGGTAACCAGCTGCAAAGGTACACATCCATGCTCCAGCAGTAGAGAGAGTGTGTTTTATGACCTGTGCCTTATTCAGTATACAGGGCAGGATATTAAGAGTATGTCTGGTTCCTCACTTTTCTTTGTAAACATTTGCATTATCTTCCCTCTCTCTTTTTCATTCCAGCGCAAATAAAGGTTGTATTAATCAGATCCAAGATGATAGTGTTGGATGGAAATGCCTAATTCAGATCGTTATTATTGTGTAATATTGACACGCAAACCCAGTTACTTCTTTTTTTCTCTCTTATTTCCTACAGGGTGCAGCTCTAATTCGAATGCTGGCTAACTTTATGGGTCACTCTGTGTTTCAAATGGGCTTACAAGTAAGTAAAGGCATTTCTGTCTTTGTATAGATGTGCATTTCTAGCACTTTCTCTTTCTCTCTCTTTTTAATTTCTGAACCACATTTTCACCTGTCTGTGGAAATGTTTCTTTACTTCAGGACCATCTGAGGCACCTACATATCCCCGAAGCTGAATTTGATGAAAGACGCTGAGCAGCGTAACACATATTGTGGTGCCCCCGGTTTCACCTATATTTTTTGGTGTATCGAGTGACTGCACTTTAACAGGCACATGGTTTTGTGTCTGTTTTGTGTAGATTGCCACGTAAAAGCCATGTTATCCATGTGACAACTGTGTGAAGGGCTAGCTGAGGAAAGAGCTACTTCTCTTCAGTTACATTTGCATGCTGGTATAACAAATAATAACAAATGATGTCAAGCTAGCTAAAAAATATATGGCCCTAAAATTAGTCATGCTTTGCAGATAAATATTTTTGCCTTCCCTTCCCCATAGCAAAATCTTTGAGCTTTATTTTTGCCTTTGATAAGCATGGAGTACTCTCTGCCTTAACAATGTTTTGAAAGCTCACTATCTTTTACAAAAGGTAACATTTCTGTACAAAGAAAGTCAGCATGCTGATTAGCAAGGGTGAACTCTTTTCAGCAATAATTCAGTGCAAATGAGTATTTCGTAAAATATATAAAACAAACAAGCCAAAGCATAAAAAACAATGTGAATCCCTCTATTCCATTGAAATCTGCTTGAGTAAATCACGTTACAGGCAGCTGTGATTGATGAATTATGTATGATGCAGCCTGCTACTTAGAAGTGTCCTTTAAAGTAAATTGATGTTCACCTGAAATACAATTATGCTAAGATGGAAAGAGCAATCAATCTTATCTGTTCTTAGTAAGCTTTTCATTTTGAAATTTAAATAAACTACGTCTAGGATCAGGTCATTTTTTAACAGAATAATTCTACCTCTAACCAAAATAAATTGGAATATAAAATATAAACCAAAAGTTAAATAAATGCATTGGTTATGTCAGAGAGGTGTGTCCCATGCAATAGGCAATGAAGAGACCTTCTAGGGAAATACAGCTTTTTGGAGAGTTTACAGGACATTCAGGGTTTGCAGCATAACTTATTCACAAGACCCAGTTGGGTCATTTTCTTACTTGTAACACCAGGTTGGATCAGTTAGGTAATTTTCTTCTCCAGATAAGAAATCTTTAAATCAAAAGTTTTCTTTGTTTATGTCGAGGGTAAAACCCCCGTCTCATTTAAGCCAGTAATACTTCTGTCCTTAGTCCAGCAAAATCCATATTCCAGCCAGAAACTTTTGCCTGCAGAGATCCATTCATATGGAAATTCAGTAGCACTTTTTCCCCCAAAAATCATTTTGTTCAGTGTTTCAGAAAGGGAAGGATTTAATACGTACATCTCAACCCCCTTTTTTCTACTTTCTTGTATGTTTGCTTGAAAAATAACAGTGTGCAAGTTGTCCTGAAATAAATTTAGAAAGAAGTTCAAATCAAAGCATAGAGCTATGCAGGGATTAAATAATCATAATTACCATAAAGTTGTAATGGAGCTTTGTTTTTTGATTTGAGTTCTTTCCTATTATTTCTGCTTTTCACCGGTTCTGCTCTAAATAGAAGCTCTTCTGTTTGCTAATGAAAGTCTATGAAAAATCTGACTAGTGAAAGTCTTGGCACCGTTTCTGTAGGAAGATGATGTTCTAACTTCTTTTATAAAAACTGTTTGAAATCCACATAGAGATTTTCCATGTGCATGTCTCCAAGTTGAACAAAACAAAACATAAAATTCATAAGCTTGTTCATAAGTTACAAATTACAGAATTAGAAATGTCTGTCCATCATTTAATTCTTTGTGTTTTGTGGATCTAACAAAACGGTGTTCCTGCAGCGTAGAGTTGGGAGACTAGTTTTGTTAATAAGGGCAACTGGAGGACTAATTTACTTTTTCTATTATGCATTGGTTTAGGCTTTTTAGCTCTTTAGCTCTGGTACCATTACTCGGGATTTAGCATTATGTTGCCTTGAATCCAGTTTTATTATGGAATTCTAATGTTCAACTAAATGGCCTTTCTCAAGGATAGCTGCAAAATCAAGTATTACTACTATTTATAAATCTCTTCAAATAATGAATACTCTGAAAGTGCACTTGATGATTCATTCCTCCTGGGTTATTCTAATGGCTGGCTGAGTAACTGAGTTCTGAAGGACCTTCTCTTTATCATATTTGCTTTGTTTTTCATTAGCCTCCAGTACATGGAGCACATCAGTGTTAATAGTATTAATATTATTTCAGTTGTTTTTGGTATATTAGGTATGTCCTTAAGTGTTTCATAGGTGACAAAAAAGAGTATTTCTGAAGTCTTATTACACTAGCATAAACCAAAATGAGTAGCCTTTTATTTATGTTTGTGTTGAGTGTTTGTTGTTTCATTGAAATCAGGGTACGATTTATCATCTAATTAAGAGCTACAGAATTAGAGCTTTTATATAAGAGAAGCTACAATGGATAGGCTAACCTTTGTGTGAAGAAGAGGAAAATATAAGGTTTAGAGCAAGAAGAAAATGGGATAGCTACCTTTTGATTGTTACCACTTCTTTCTTGATCTGATTCGCATGCTGTCACTTGGCAGGTGGACTTTTTGAAGAGCAGATCAAGATAGCTTGGGAAAGAAACATCCTCTATATGTCAAATAAAATAATCAATTGTGTTAAAAAGGAGAAAAAAGGATGGTGAGGGGAGAGTGGGGCTCTTTGTTGGATGTTCTTTAACAATGAATATGAGCTGAAGGAAATGTACAAATGCGCACATGATCCCTAATAGTTCAGCAAACTGTTCTGTTGAGGAGTCTGCAAGGAGGTAAAATTTTAGTAGAGATGCTCAGTTTTACGGTGTAGATAGCTTTGGAGAGATTCGTATCTGTCAAGAATAGCTGGACTGTTCCTGTCATGGTAAATATACTGTGAAAGACCATTTGATTATAGTGTGGAAGTTCTACAATAATACTGCAGCCAAGAGACTTACCTAGTGAAGATACAATTTTCTGGAAGCCCTTCAAAGACATATGATGTTTTGAATCATGTGACATTTTCAAACAGAAGATTTAGTTACAAAGACAGAACTTTCTCACTGTTCTCATATAGTATTCACAGACAAAACCAAATGAAAATATATTTTGTGTTGGCTGTAATGAATAACTAAGTAATGACAGTAACAGCCACAGCTGGTAACACTTGCGTACGAGGAAGTCAGAGTTATTATTTTTGTAGAAAATGTCTAATAAACCCTTCTCATAGTAGATGATTCCTTTCTTTTAAAAAGTCCTGACATCCTTCATGATGTGCAAAGTTTCTTATGTTCCAAGGAAATTCAAGAGGTGCACATTGCTGAATGCCAGTACTGTTCTTACAAAGTGGTGTTGCTTTTCAATCAAAAAAACATTGATCAGCTAGAACAGAGATTAGAGTGTGAAGGGGCTTGGTCAGCACCACTTGCTCTGATTATGTTTCTGAACTGCATAGATTGGTGGAGGAAGAAGCTGTAAGTTGGCATTAACATTCAGTCATCACTCAGGGCAGTAATATGCAATATAATACTAGATATGTGTGAGATTTTCATCTGTAGGCTGTTGTTCCTAATCTGTGTACTTGAAATAGAGTTGCTTCAATGACTGCTGTCCCTGTATTACATACGTTTCCTGGAAGGTTTTACTTCTTTTTGGCAAGGCACCCTTCAAGTTATCAGTGAGGTTTTTTACATATTAAGTATAGATAGAAAGCTCAGTGATTTGAAGGTCTAGTGACAGTGATTAGATGTGTGTAAAAAAGCACCTCCAGGTCTGTAATGAGACATTTCTGCACTGGTTTATTTAAATTTTTCTTATATTTGTTTTGATTATTTTGGAGCCTCATCTCTATTACTGTGCGTTTGTCAACACTGCATTTCATTTGCTATGCAGCAGCTCATTGATCACATAGGTCTGTATCCTTTTGAACTTCACTTGCTGCTGTGTATGTGTTCATCACTCACTCTGATTTAGTGCATCATCAGCAGTTTGAATTAGTTACTGTGGGAAACTCTGCTTCTGTGATAAATTAAATGCTTTTGTACTTTAGGTTTCACATTGTACATTTAGAAGAAGAATTTCCATACAGTGCCTCTGGATAGACACTGTCTTTGATGCTCAGGCCCAGTCAGCATGGGGTTATGAAAGGCAGGTCCTGCCTGACAAACCTGATCTCCTTCTACGACAGGGCGACCTGCTTATTGGATGAGGGAAAGGCTGTGGATGTTGTCTAGCTTGACATTAGCAAGGTCTTTGACAATGTTTCCCACAGCATTCTGCTGGCAAAACTGGCTGCTCGTGGCTTGGATGGGCACACGCTTTGATGGATAAAAAACTGTCTGGATGGCCGGGCCCAAAGAGTTGCGGTGAATGGAGTTAAATCCGGCTGGCGAACGGTCACAAGTGGTGTCCCCCAGGGCTCGGTGTTGGGGCCACTCCTGTTTAACATCTTTATTGATGAACTGGACAAGGGGATCGAGTGCACCCTCAGTCAGTTTGCAGATGACCCCAAGTTGGGTGGGAGTGTTGATCTGCTCGAGGGTAGGGAGGCTTTTCCAACCTAGATGATTCTGTGATTCTCAAACAAATTGGTCAACCTTTCAGAGGAGCTGTCTGGAGAAATGTGACGTGCAGGCTGTTAAATATAGCAAGGTTCAGATTTCAATAACTTTTTCCTATAATAAAGCTGTCTAGTTAGACTTTCTTTCATCCACACTGCTTAGTATTTTCTGCTTTTTAGACACCTGTATGCATGCCTGTGTTTTGGTTGGATTGTGGCAGTCAGTGTAAAAACCTATCAGAAACTTTGTAGGTGTAAAATAAAGTTCTAATGTGCTATTTTCCATATTGTTTACCACTTCTGTCCAAGAATCTGTTAGTACAAGAAACATATCCATCTATTTCCACAGTATTATTTTATAATCTATTTTTGACA